TAGGGGTTTATCAATCTTGTTGATTTTCTCCAGGAACCAGCTTTTTGTTTCATTGATTCTTTGGATTGTTTTCTGTGTTTCAATTTGTTGATTTCAGCCCTCAGTTTGATTTTTTTTCCAGTCTTCTACTCCTCCTGGGTGAGTCTGCTTCTTTTTTTTCTAGAGCTTTCAAGTGTGTTGTTAAGTCTCTAATGTGTGCTTTCTCTGTTTCCTTTATGTGGGCATTTAGTGCTATGAACTTTCCTCTTAGCACTGTTTTCATTGTGTCCCATTGGTTTGGGTATGCTGTGTCTTTATTTTCGTTGAATTCAAGGAAGACTTTAATTTCTTTCTTTATTTCTTCCTTGACCCAGGGATGGTTTAGTAGTTGACTGTTCAGTTTCCATGAGTTTGTAGGCTTTCTAGGGTTAGAATTATTGTTGAATTCTAACTTTATTCCATGGTGATCTGATAGTATACAGGTGATTACTACAATTTCTTTATATCTATTGATATTTACTTTGTCACCAATTATGTGATCAGTTTTTGAGAAGGTTCCATGAGATGCTGAGAAGAAGGTATATTCTTTTCTGTTTGGGTAGAATGTTCTATAGATGTCTGTTAGGTCCATTTGGTTCATTACATCTGTTAGTTCTCCTATTTCTCTGTTAAGTTTCTGTTTGGTTGACCTGTCCATTGGTGAGAGAGGAGTGTTGAAATCACCCACTATTAGAGTGTGGGGTTTGATGTATGTTCTGAGTTCTAGTAATGTTTCTTTTACATATGTGGTGCTTTTATATTAGGGGCATAGAAATTCAGGATTGAGACTTCCTCCTGATGAATTGTTCCTGACATGAGTATAGTGTTCATCTCTGTCTCTTCTGATTGATTTTAGTTTGAAGTCAATTTTGTTAGATATTAGTATAGCCACACCCACTTGTTTCTTTGGTCCATTTGATTGGAAAACCTTTTCCCAACCCTTTACTCTGAGGTAGTGTCTGTCTTTGTGTTTGAGGTGTGTTTCTTGTAGGTAGCAGAATGTTGGATCCTGATTTCGTATCCATTTTCTTAAACTGTGCCTTTTTATAGGTGAGTTGAGTCCATTGATATTAGCGATATTAATGGCCAGTGGTTGTTGACTCCGGTTACTTTTCCTGGTGGTAGTGTTTGTGTGTTTCCCTTCTTTGAGTTGTGCTGGTGGAGGGTTGTCAGATGCTTGTGTTATTATAGGTGTTGTTGGATTCCTTGGTTTGTGATTTTCCTTCTAGTATTTTCTGTGAGGCTGGGTTTGTGGCTACGTATTGTTTAAATCTATTTTTGTACTGGAATATTTTGTTTTCTCCATTGATGGTAAGTGCAAGCTTTGCTGGGATAGTAGTCTGGGCTTGCATCTTTAGTCTCTTAGTTTCTGCAGCACATCTATCCAAGACCTTCTGGCTTTCATGGTTTCCACTGAGAAGTCAGGTGTAATTCTGATAGGTTTCCCTATATATGTTACTTGACCTTTTTCCCTTGCAGCTCTTAATATTTGTTCTTTATTCTGTATGTTTTGTGTTTTGATTATTATATGGCGAGGGGATGCTTTTTTTTGGATCCAGTCTACTTGGTGTTCTGTATGCTTCTTTTACCTTCATAGGAATATCCTTCTTTACATTGGGAAAGTTTTCTTCAATAATTTTGTTGAGTATATTTTCTGGACCTTTGAGCTGTAAATCTTCTCCTTCTTCTACACCTATTATTCTTAGGTTTAGCCTTTTCACGGTGTCCCAGATTTCCTATATGTTTTGTGTTAAGAATTTGTTGGATTTGTTTTGTTCTTTAATCAGTGAGTTTATTTCCTCTACAGTATCTTCAGTGTCTGAGATTCTTTCTTCTATCTCTTGTATTCTGTTGGTAATACTTGTCTCTGCAGTTCCTATTCATTTACCCAGATTTTCCATATCCAGCCTTCCCTCGGTTTGTGTTTTCTTCATTACCTCCATTTCATTTTTCAAGTCTTGAACTGTTTCCCTTACCTGTTTGGTTGCTTTTTCTTCATTTTCTAGTTTTTTTAGGTATCTTTGAGAGATTTATTCATTTCATCTACTTTTTTGTTTGTTATCTTTATTTCTTTATGGCAGATATTCACCTCCTGTTTAAGTTCCTCTGTTATTTTCATATAGTTCCATTTAGAGTCGATTTCTTCTATTTCTTCTGGAGTAGGGTGTTCAATTCTTCTAGTTTCATGATCCCTGGATTCTGGTGATGTCATGTTGTCTTTCATGTTGTTGGAGGAATTCTTGCATTGGTGCCTGCCCATCTCTTCCTTCAAATGGAACCAGGAGAATCTTGTTGTCTTGGTTCAGTCTTTGCTGTGACTTACTCTCTGGGTGGATCTCTTCAGTGCAGGAGCAGGAACTGTTCCTGTCCCTCTAGATGGAACTCCTCAACACTGAAGCAGTGATAGCTGGTAGTTCAAGGACACCGGAGACAAGGGGGCGATCATGGGGGCAGGGCAGGGCCGAGTGAAACACCTAAGACCCTGAGGCAGGAGCTGGGGGGTGGCTGTGCTCTTTTCCAGGACAGTCTGCCCTGGATAGCACACACTCACCCCTCTGTATGGAACTCCTCAGCACAGATACAGGGATAGCTGGTATTCCAAGGACACAGGAGACAAAAGGATGATCATGGGGGCAGGACAGGGTCGAGTGGAACACAGAAGACCCTTCAGCAGGAGCTGGCGGAGGGCTGTGCTCTCTTCCAGGACAGTCCACCCGGGATAGCACATACTCACCCCTCTGGATGGACCTCCTCAGTACAGACACAGGGATTACTGGTATTCCAAGGACACAGGAGACAAGAGGGCGATCGTGGGGGCAGGGTAAGGCAGGGTCGAGTGGCCGTACATTAATTTATGTATAGATGTAAAAGTCTATGATCCACAAATAAGAGAAAACAAGTGATACTTTTTCTGAGTCTGACTTAATTTACCTAATATTGTAATCCCTGGTTGTATCCATTTTCCTACCAGTGACATAATTTTATCTTCATGGTTGGAAACAACCCCATTGTACATCACATGCCCCAGACAGACATAGAGTTGATTCTGTAACTTTTTTCCACTTGTGAGAACAAGTGTCACTCTTGTTCCATGCTACCCTTCACTCATGATGTTCCTACCTCACTTCCTAAGTGCTGAGATTACATTCACAAACCATAATGCCTGGATGTAAATAATTTATTTTTTATCATTTATTTATTTTTTATTGAAAATTTCCACCTCCTCCCCTCCTTCTACTTTCCTCCCCTCCCACCGCCCCCTTCCCCCTACCTCTCCAGTTCAAGGAGCAGTCAGGGTTCCCACTCTATAGGAAGTCTAAGGTCCTCCCTGCTCCCCCCAGGTCCAGGAAGGTGAGCATCCAAACAGACTAAGCTCCCACAATGGACAATGCCCGTCCATGCAGTAGAATCAAAACCCAGTGCCATTGTCCTTGGCTTCTCCATCAGCCTCCACCATCAGCCACATTCAGAGAGTTCAGTTTGATCGCATGCTCATTCAGTCCCAGTCCGGCTGGATTTGGTGAGCTCCCATTAGAACAGGCACACTGTCTCAGTGGGTGGACCAACCCCTCGTGGTCCTGCCTTCCTTGCTCATGTTCTCCCTCCTTCTGCTCTTCATATGGACCTTGGGAGCTCAGTCCAGTGCTCCAATGTGGGTCTCTGTCTCTATCTCCATTCATCTCCAGATGAAGGTTCTATGGTGATATGCAAGATATTCATCAGTGTGGCTATAGGATAAGGCCAGTTCAGGCACCCTCTTCTCTGCTGCCCAAGGAACAAGCTGGGGACATCTCCTTGGACACCTGGAAACCCCTCCAGAGTCAAGTCTCTTGCCAAGCTTAAAATGGCTCCCTTAATTAAGATATATACTTCTCTGCTACTTCATCCATGCCTCCTCCATCCCAACCATCCCATTCCCTCAAGCTCTCCCCATTCTCCGCTTCTCCCTTCTCTCTAACCATCTCCCCTTATCCCCACCCCACTCCTACCCCCGTGTTACCAACCCCTGTCCCGCAATCTTGTCCACTTTCAATATCCAGGAGTATAACTATATGTTATCCTTTGGGTTCACCTTCTTATTAGCTTCTCTAGAATCACAACTTATAGGCTCAATGTCCTTTATTTATGGCTAGAATCCACTTATGAGTGAGTACATACCATATTCATCTTTTTGGGTCTGGGTTACCTCACTCAGTACAACGTTTTTTATTTCCATCCATTTGCATGCAAAATTCAAGTTGTCATTGTTTTTTACCACTGAGTAGAACTCTAAAGTATATATGTGCCACACCTTCTTTATCCATTCTTCTATTGAGGGGCATCTAGGTTGTTTCCAGGTTCTGGCTATTACAAATAGTGCTGCTATGAACATAGTTGAACAAATGCTTTTGTAGTATGATAGGGCATCTCTTGGGTATATTCCCAAGAGTGGAATTGCTAGATTCTGAGGTAGGTTTACTCCCAGTTTCCTGAGAAACCGCTGTAAATAATTTCTTAAACAGTTAAAAAAAAGAACACGTTTAGTCAACTTACTCAATTGAATATTTTCTCCTTAAAAGATTTATTATTTATGTCTATGAGTGTTTTGTCTGAAAGTATGTCTGCACATCAGAGGAGGATATCATATTCCATAGGACTACAGTTATAGATGGTTGTGAGCCACCATGTGCATTCTGGGAATTGAACTCGGGATCACTGAAAGAGCAGCCAGTGCTCTTAACTGCTGAGCCATCTCTCCACCACCATCAACTGGTTTTTTTTAATTTTCTGTAAATTCATTTTTCCTTGCATGTTTTTCTGTGGACCATGTGAATACAGTACTCATGGAGGTCAGAAGGGGGTGTCGAATCCCCAAGAACTAGAGTTACAAACAGCTGTGTCTCTGGCTAGTGTTTTTAACTGCTGAACCTTTGCCCCCAGCCTCTGAAAATAATTTTTTAAAGAGCAAAATTTTGCTAACAGCTCACTGTTTTCTCTTACAGGCTTATACAATGAACCCGTCCTCTCCACAGATCAAAGTCCTGTGCTGATAGCAGGAGAAAGCATTTCCTTCCAGTGTAGTTCAGCACATGACCTGTTTAACAGATTTTCATTGGCCAAGGAGGGAGATGCTTCTTTGCCACAGCATCAACATGAAGGGTACCAAGGCAAATTCACTCTTGGTCCTGTGAACCCTAACTTCGCAGGGAACTACAGGTGCTACGGCTGGCACAACAGCAGTCCCTATGTATGGTCATCCCCTAGCAATGCCCTGGAGCTCATTGTCACAGGTAGAGGCGGCATCACATTTCAGTTTTTTGTTCTCTACCAATAGGGTGTCTAGGCGGGAGTGAGAAGAGGTGCTCTGAGATCCATGAACGTGGCAGTAGACTCACTCTCCTGAGGAGCATGAAGAGAAAGGGGCTTCTCACTTACTCCACACTCATCTTTCATACATTTTCTGAAGTCTTCCAGCGTACCCTTCAGAAACCTATGAAATATTTTTCAGGGTGTTTGTTGAGGGGTGCATGCACAGTGCTGGCAGGGGCCAGAGGGGGTGACAGATTCCCTGGAGCTGAATTTACAGATGATTCTGAATCACCCATTGTGGATGCTAGAAGCTGAACTCAGGACCTCTGCAAGTGCAGAAAATGGTTTTAACCACTGCATCATCCCTTCAGCCTCCTAGTTTATCGATAAAGGAAAGGTGTGCATTCAGAATCACTTATGAGGGATCCGGGTTGAGACAGAAGATCCAAACACAGTCTAGTCTGGTGCATATTTTTTCATTTGCAGAATTTTTCATTACAGAATCCACTTGGAGTGGTTGAATAAAGATTGAGTTGTAGGACTCATTTTTTATGTGGTTTGCATATACCACTGTGCTTGAAGGAAGGAGAAAAGGTCAGACTTCAGGCAGTGGAAACCAGTTGCTGGTAGCTGAGGGGCTGACCACATTCCGTATCTTTTGCCACCTTCTGAATAAAGTGTCATTACCCCAGTCATGCAATAAGCTCAGCAGTGTGATAGCTGTGCATCACAGTGCTGCAAAGCTGGGTAGATCTTTTCAATTAGTGGCATGGAGACAACTGAATTTCCATGCAGAAGAATCAAAGTACAATTAAACAAGAACACATTTCTGATGGATTAGAGGCCTAGTTGCAAAATATATTCTGTGGGAGACCACAGAAGAGAATTACCTTGACCCTGACATAGAAGATGATTTCTAAAACAAGATGCAGGACCTGCCTGCTCTATAGAAAAGGACTAATGAACTCAACCCAACTAAATCTTAAAATGTATGTTGATGATAATAATAAAAGGGAAAAATACATTTCACGTAATTGACTAGGTAATAGAATCATCTTGGTTTTCTGAGATAGAGTCTCACAAACTCATGCATGCTAGACAAACCCTCTTTTAACAGGCAAATGATATTGAACATTTAATTTTTCTGAACATTGTAGGCTCACATATTACATTACAGCCAATGAGGGAGGAAACAGGTTAACAAAGATAAAGATCATCTAATACATAAAAAATAAAAATAAGCAATTCACTGAGCATCATTTTCTACAAAATGTCACACAATAATTGGTGATGAGAAGTTGGAATGAAGTTGAGCAACAGATCACCTGCCTGTCATGCATACAGAAATTGGTTCCATCCTCATCACACAGGTCATTTTTAAGTAGAGATGAGTTTTAGCTAAATTTATCTTAAATTTTACCATATATATCTAAAGCAGCAGTGGCTGAGTGTCTATTTTGCCACGTTTGAGAGTAATATAAATTTTCATGTAGAGTGACAAAAGTATGAAGAAAAAAATTTTAGAGCTCCTGACTCAGGGAGGTGTTGAAAAAATAGTTGGGTGAGCAATGAAACCACCAAGAGAAGTGAGAAAGACAAAGTACAAACTCCCCATAATCACTTCCTTTTCTAGGAACCACAGTTCTGCACCCTTGGCCTCCCTCTATCTTACACCACACCTAGAAGTGTGGTGCCTGAGAATATATGAGATCATTAAAAAGCATTAGAATAGAATGGGTCATGGCCGACAATTACCTATTTCTTTCCTTTATGTCTCTAGACTCCAAGAAGCAAGGTTACATGGTGGAGAATTCAATCCGGATGAGTATGGCAGGGCTGGTGCTTGTGGTCCTTTTGGTGATACTAGCTGAAGACTGGAACAGCCACAGGATATCACACAAGGAAGACTGTCAGGAATTGACTGCACCAAAATGGAGCAGACAGTGACTGTGGGTGGGGAATGGGAGCTATAGATGGGAAGGCTGCTTGCAAAAAGGAAAAGCAATTAGAGGCTCGGATCCATTTGAGAATGCAAGACATGGGTGTAAAGTATCCACCACCCATGTGTATGAACACTGGCTCCCCCAGCAGATGGTACTGTTTATGAGGATGTATAAACTTTAAGATGTGCTATAAGTAGGTCACTGGGGCTAATATTTAAATGTTATACTCACTTCAGGTTCCCACCTAGCTCTCTGTCACTGTATACTCCTGTGGAGCTGCTCCTATTTTATGCTTTTCTGCTACAATAGAATACTCCCTCTGAAAACATGAGCCAGAATTAGCCTTGTCTTCCTTTCTTTCAAGACAAAAATAAATTAACTAGTACACAGAGTTATCATACAGTGTGGTCCTAGGTGGATCTGATGCTATTTCTTCTTTCCTGGTTAGTATTAAGGTTAGTTATAAATATATTTTTCTTTTATTTGTGAGATTTTATTATAACTACATCCCTTGGTTAGGCCTTTTTTTTTTGTCAACTCAACAAAAGTGAGGGTCATGTGGGAAGAGGAGACCTCAACTGAGAAAATGTCTCTATCAGATTGCCCTGTAGGCAAGTCTGTGGAATATTTTCTTGATTAACATTTGTCATGGGAGGGTCCAGCTCACTGTGGGTGGTGCCACCTTGGACAGGTGGTTCTGAGTTTTATAAAAAGCAAACTGAGAAAGACATAAACAGCAAGCCAGTGCAGTGTACTCTTCCATGACCTCTGTTTCAGTTCCTGACTCCGTGTTCGTGCCCTGAATTCCTACCTTGACTTCCCTTGATGACAGACTGTAACCTGTAAGCCAAATAAATCTTTTCTTCCCAAAGTTGCTTTGGTCATGGTGTTTTACCACAGCTGTAGAAAACAAACTAAGAACATTGATTATAATTATAATTTCCATCATTTTACAGCCTTTTTATGTTCCTCCTTTTTGTGGTGCAGGGGATTGAACTGAAGTTCTCATGCATGCTAGATGAGTTTTCTACAACTGCCTTACATCCCAGCCCTCCTTTCACTTTAAGACAAGTTTTCATAGAGTTGTCCAGGCTGACCTTGAACTCACCTTGTGGCATAGACTGACCTCAAACTTGTGATCCACTGTGAGAATGTTTTTTGAGAAACACTATTTAAAATTTGCCTTTACAAATTAAACTTCCATCCAACTCATAATCAAGTCAATAATGTGCTTTGAGATTCTTATAACTACGTACTAATTCTTCTGACAAAATATAGACTCAGCCTGTTTGAAATTAGCTGAACTCTGAGATAACCTTGCAGTCAAACTTACTGTTCTTTGGACTTCCAATATAAGTAACTTCTCCAAGCTCGGCTGAATGCACAGCCTCAATTGTACCACATTCCCCATTTCACCTTTGTGATACATTCATGCCCTGAATGTGTGTGTATGAGAGGGGGGGGGAGAGGGAGAGAGAATGGAGATTGGTAAACAGATCTAAGACTATGTGCTGGCATAGACAGCTGATCTGAGCTCACAGGAGCTCATGAACACTAAACCAACAGTCAGGGGGGCCTATATGAGACCAACCTAGGTTCCCTGCATGTGTGTGACAATCATGTAGGTTGGTCTCTTAGTAAGACTTCTAACAGTGAAAGAAGGACCTTTCCCTGGCAGTTAGTTTGTTTTTTTGGTAGCTTTTGGTAACCTGTTCTCCATGCTGGATTACCTGGCTTGATCCTGCCTCAACTTGCTTTGGGCAATCCCATGGAAGTCCTGTCCCTTTCTGAATGGAGATAGAGGAGGGGTGGATGAGGAGAGGGTAGATGGAAAAGGGGAGGGGGCAGGACAGGAGGAGAGCAAGGAGGGAAAACTGGTTAGTGTGCAAAATAAATGAAAAAATATTAGTTAAATAAAATAATTAAAAAGACTATGTGCAGGAATCATTGAGGGGTTGAAAACAATGACCCATGTGCAAAATATGTTAGAAGCAACATTTGGGTATAGAATCATGATATGTGATTATGGTTTTGTATGCTGTTCTGAGTAAGTAGGGCCAGGAGCACAATTTTCTGCCTCATAGATTCCTGTAAATTAAGAAAACAGTCCCTCTTTCCTTTTTGCAGCTGTATTTGCTGTGTCATTTGATACATAGAGAACAGGGCCTTTATTCACACTGCTTCTTAGATTAGACCATTCACTTTTACAGTAGGTTTGTTTTAGATTAGACAAATACTAAATTAGAACAGGAAAGACCAAAACTCTTTTGAATATATCCAGCCCATGCCTGAGTAGCCAAAACCAAGAGTCTTTCTTCTTCTATGCTATATCATCACAATCTTCCTGCCTGAGCCTCTGTTTTTCTATAATTAAGGTGTTTATGTTGATAAAATTAACTACAGTACAAGAGGCTCGTGGAAAGTTAATCAGGATCATTCAAAAGTTAGTCATGTGTTCAAAATAAATATTTTATATTAAGAAGCGTTTTCCCATGAAGCATGCACACTAATATAAGCCACTGCAAATTCTATTTGAAGGCAATGCTATCATTTTTATTCTATCTTATTTTTTTTACCTGAACTCCATATTTTTGAAAATGCTTGGTTCTCACATACTTGCTATTTTAATAATGCTAATAAAATACAATATTCTAAGTGTCCTTTTATCTAAAAACAAAACAAAGGTGAATGTATTTGCTTAGAACAAAGACCATGTTGATTCTTTGGAGACAAATTAGTGACATCACCTTAGCCAGATTTCATGGAAATAATGCAATTATTAGCAAGAGCAGTAATCATAACATTACAGTAACATCGATGGTAACCTCTTTATGTCACATGCTGAGTGAGGAATTTCACTCTCCAGATAGTCTGCCTCAGTCTCTTGAGTAGCTAGGATGACAGGTCTGCTCCAGAGGCTAGGACCTCTTTTTCTGCTCAGATTTTCTTCTTTATTCTTTGTTTCTTTTTTATATTCTCATTTTTATTGTTCAAGAATTCCATGTGTGAATATATTTTGATGAAATCCACTCCCATCTCCACCCCTTGTATTTACTCCCCATCCACACCACCACTCCCCACCCTTACTTCATATACTCCATTTTAAAACTCACTGAGCCTAGTTAGTACTGCCAGTACGTGCATGGCTATAGGGCCATACGCTGGAACATGGGCAGCCTCTCAATGACTGCACCCTAGGGAAAAAAATGACCCCTCTTCCAGCAGCTGTCAGTTACCAAAATGGTTCCTCAACAAGAGGTGTGACTTTGTGACCCCATTCCCCATATACACTGGGATTTGGATTTTTAAATGTGTAGCCACCAATTATAAAAAAACTAGTAGACTTGTTGTAATAGCAAGTCCCCTGCTTTGTCCTTAGGGTATTGGTTTTGTCTAAATGTAAATTAAATGAATAAACACAAGTGCAAATGAAGGTCACAATCCTATTTGAGAAATATGAAACTGTATTAAATGACAACTTTTTGGGGGGCACAGAGTTTGCATTTACAACTTTAAAAGATGATACAATTTTATCTTTTAACAGTACTAATGTATTTCACACCATTGAACCAGTAATTGTATATCTCAAAAAGTTCAAAGAAATAAACCAGACTCACAAACACTAGTAACATGCATTTTATTGTATATGTAATTTGGGGTGGAAGAAGGATATAAAAGTATAATGGGGATTATTAGAGATGTGGAAGGAGAAAATAGGAAAGGTGAAAAAAAGTAACGGAGAGGATGAGTATATTTAGAACCACAGAATAGTATGCGCATGTATGGAAATGTCAAACCGAAAGTAATTAATACATACCAATAAAACTGGAGAAAATCTCCAAGAAATTAATTGAAAATTTATATCATTAAAAAAATCATGGGACTGGAAAGATGGCTCAGCTATTAAAAGCTAGACTCACAACCTAAAGCAAGAAATTCTGAGTTTGAGAAAGTAGGATGTGAATTCCTGCCTTGATGCTCCAGTAGTGATGGACTTTAATGTGGAACTGTTAAAAAAAAAAAAAATTCTCCCCTAGTATTCCTTTGCCAGAGTAACTTACCACAACAATGAAAGTGACACTAGGCAGTGATTAAAAGACAAAACCCAAGAATCCACCAGATGATAAGAATGTTGTCAAAAACATCAAATGTCTAGTTAATCTATAAAATCAAATTATAGCAGAAAATCTCCCAAGTCTAGAGAAAGACCTAAACATCCAAACACAAGTGTTGTCTTGAACTCCAAGTAGACATGATCAGAGTAGAATTCTACATGACATAATACATTCAAGATATCAAAAATACAAAACAGGGCTGGAGAGATGGCTCAGTGGTTAAGAGTACTGCTTCCTCTTCCAGAGGTCCTGAGTTCAATTCCCAGCAACCACATGGTGGCTCACAACTATCTGTAATGAGATCTGGTACCCTCTTCTGACCTGCAAGCGTACATGCAGACAGAATAATAAGAATACTGTATACATAATAAATAATCAATCTTAAAAATACAAAACAAAGAAAGAATGTTTAAAGCCATAAGGGAAAGACATCAACTCACTTATAAAAGCACATAAATAAGAATAATGTCAGCTCTCCACACAACCCTAAAAGGTATAAAAATGTGGGATGATATATTTCAGAACTTGAAAGCAATTAACTCAACTAATGCTGCTTTTTCCAGGAAAGTTGTGCTATGAAGTTGGCAAAGAAGTAAGGACATTTCAAGATAAATACAAACTAAGCTTGGTCATGACCACCAAACAAGCCTCAAAGAAGATAACGAAATTAATATAATGTACATAGGAGGAAGGTCTCCTGGTAAGAGCCTCCTCGAGGGCAAGACTGTAAATAACCAGCTAAGTCCTCTAGAAACCTGGGGAATTCAGTACGTGGGTGAAAAGATGTTCAAGTGGCCAGCTAAAGGCTACCACGTGAAGAGGAAACAACTTGGGCAGTTGTCCTCATCAACTCAGGTCATGACATGCAATGTGGACAAGTTCAACAGAAACACCTGGGCTAATTCCCAGAATCTGACAGTGCCCTGGTACCTCCATGTGCTTCTCTCTTAAAGCTGAAAGCAGGGAGGGAGCTGATAGAAATGGACAAGAAAGGTACTTCCTTATGCTGAAAAGAGTTACCACAATAGGGGTCTGGAATGTGAGAACACTAAACAAAGTTAGGGGAACCAGTTTGCTCAGGCTTGAGCTCAGTCACCTCAGGTGGGAAGTCATTGAACTGGCAGAAACACATTGGACAGGAGCACAAGAACTCATAGTAAATGGACGTAATATTAAAACTAAGATGAAGAGGGAAAACACACAGCAGGTGCAGCTTTAGTGCTGTCCAGTTTGACCCAAAAATGCATACTCGGGTACAGACCTGTAAATGAACAAATTTCATCAGTCAGATTTCAGACAATGACACATACAGTCACTATCATACAGGTATACCCGCACACAGTGGGAGCAGAAGAGGAAGACATCAACAGTTTCTACACAGATCTACAGAACAAGGTCAGCAGGACATATAAGAATAAGAATGAAATACTAATCATTATGGGTGAGTCCAATGCAAGAGTGGGATCTGGAGAAAGAATAGACTATTGTGTCATGGGAACATATGGATTGGGACAATGGAACCTTAGAGGGGAACAACTGCTTGACCTCTTCTATGCAAATGATTTGTCCATATCCAACACAAAATTCAAGCAGGCCAAACCATCAAGATTCTGGACATGGGAATCTTCTGACAAATGCACATACAGCCAAACTGACTACATTTGGTTTCCTGGTCATCAGGAAACTCTTATCTAGTATCCAAAACAGCTGATCATTTCCTGGTGCTGACTTAGGGTCAGATCACCAACTTGTTATGGCCAACATTCAACTTAGGAGAAGCACGCCAGGCAAGACAAACCAGAAGATTGATCACCAACAACTGATGAACCCAGCTGTATGGAGAGAGTATAGAAAACCCACTGAGAAAAAGATGAGGGAAATCATTAAACAACCCTTTACAGATATAGAAAGCAAATGGGAAAAAAAATCAAAAGAACTATATGGGAGGCTTCAAAGGAGACACTTGTTATGTGAAAAGGGAAACACCAGTAGAATGGCTTTCTGCAAAGATGATCGATCTGGCAGAAGAAAGAAGGAAGCTAAAGAGCAAACAGAGAGGCAAAAAACAGGCAGCAAAACACCACAACTATGCAGGGAGATCAAAAGAAGAGCAAAGAAGGATAGAGAGCTGTGTATACAAGGTCTATGCAAAGAGGTCGAAGAGGCTAGACTCTGTAATAAAACACATCTTGTTTACAAAGTTACCAGACGAATAACTGCCAGATATGGTCCTCAGACTTGGGTGATTAAAGATCAGCAAGGTCATTTATTAACAGAACCAGGGGAAGTAAAGCAAAGATGGAGACAATACTTTGACATCCTATACATTGGCTCTAATGCTGTCAACATAGACTACAATGAGAAACACATCAGCAGCCACTCCAACACCAGAGATGATGAAAAATATTAAATATTGACAAGAGCAAGATAGAGGAAGCTATCAAGAAAGCGAAATTCAGGAAGGTCTCAGGAATGGATGACATCACAGTGGAGGAGCTGGAGGCAGCTACAATAGACTCAGGAGCCAGGCTGAGGTGCTTCTCAGACTCTTCAGGGAGATATGGGAACATGAGCTAATTCCTATGGAATGGAAGCACTCAGTCATAATTCCCATACACAAGAAGAAGGACAAGCTGACTGCTCAAATTACAGGGGCATTAGTTTTTTTCTTCCATAGCAGCAAGATCTTCTCTTCCATTATCCTGCAAAGGATCAAGGGCAGAACAGAGAAAAACCTAACAGAGACCCAGTGCGGATTTAAAGCCAATAGGAGCATTATTTATCAGATCTTCCCTTTGAGGCCACTGGCAGAAAATATGAAGAATTTGGAAAAGACATATGTCTGTTACACTGACTTCAGGAAGGCATTTGATAGCATTTGGGGGAAAGAACTTTGGGAAACAAAAGTTCTACAGATAACCAGAGAAAAATCATAAGAATTCTAGAGAATGCCTATAAATACATTTTTGCATTGGTCAAATCTATGGAAAACTAAGCAATCAGTTTAAGCCAATCATAGGAGTGTTTCAGGGATGCACCCTCTCACCACTACTCCTTGATATATTCCTGGAATTAATAAAAGCAACAGCCCTGGAGATTGAAGAGATAGGCGTGCAGACAGTTGTGTGAATCAATAACTTGCATTCCGCTGATGATACCGCACTACTTGCTGAAAGTTCAAATGAATTGCAGGCCACGGTAAATAGAGTGGTGGAAGTAAATGAAAACCCTTGATATGAAAGTAAACATCAAGAAGACTGAGATACAACACATGTGAAGGGCACACAAGGATTTTAACACTGTAATAAAGAATCATAACCTCAGTCAACTTTGTCTCTCTGGGAGGAAACCTCAGTTCAAAGGAGGGAATTATTTCGGTCATCAAGAGGGATATGAGGGTTGCATTCCAGGCACTAGGAAAAGTTTGGTCAGCAGCAAGAGACATAACGACAACAACAAAATTACAATTCTATGAAACACTTGTCTTGAGCTGCCTTCTTTACAACTCTGAAACCGAGGCAATGAAACACTCCTCAGAACAGCAGTTGAATGTGTTTGAGATCTCATTTCTCAGGAGGATTCTAGGTATCACACAAAGAGATAGGCTACACAATGATGACACATCTCCACCCACAGAAAGAAATAAACTACCGGATATAGCAATGGCGCTTGAGATACTTTGGCCATGTTATGAGAATAAATAATGGCCGATAACTGCTTGGAGGAGTGCACAGGATAAGTCTAAGAGGAAGGCCCCCCCAAAAAAAAACTCTGGATAAACAGCATAAAGGAAGACTGTGGAACCTTGGGAATGACAATAATACAAGCAGCTAGGAATAACTGTAGAACCATCATAAATGAGCTGCCCGTGCATGCTTAAGCACTGTAAAAGCATAGATGATGATGATGATGATGATGATGATGATGATGATGATGATGATAACGACAACATAGGAGAAAGAAAGATGCTCTCAGTCACAAGGGTATGGGAAATAACAAAATTCATGAGAAGAAGAGATATACAAGACAGGAAGGAATCCATGGAGTCCAGCATAGTAAACCAGCAAACCTCAACAATAATGGACGAGAAAGAAAGAGCAAAAAATCTGACAACAAGCCAGTAAAATGCTTGTTTCAAAAGTATGAAGATTTCACTTCAGTCCCCAAAAGCCGCATAGGTAGTAGAGCCAGGCAGAAGCTGGAAAGATGGCTAAGCAATTAAGATCACCCATATGAGGAGGCTCACAATCACCTGTAATCCCAGCTCTAGGGAATCCTATTCCATCTTCTGACCTCTAGCAGCACTACACTCATGTGAACATACCCACACACAAACACACAAAATTAAAAATGAAATCTTTAAAACATAAAATCCAAGTGTAACAACACATGTTTATGATTGCTGTGCTGGGAAGGCAAGACATGTGGGTACCTAGGACTTATATATCAGCTGACCTAATCTACTTTGCAAGTGTCTGGCTCTGGAGGGTTGTTGTATACAAAAATAAGTGGATATGTGCACACACACAGAGAAACCTAGTAAGGATTAGAGAGAAAGCTCAGTGATTAAAATGCTTACAACGCTAGAATGAAGACCTGAGTCCAGCTCCCTAACACCCACATAAAATATCAGATGGACATCAAAGCCCACTTGTAATTCCAGCCTGGGAATGCAGACAAGGGATCCCCAGAACACATTTTCTAGGGTAATTCATCATATTGGAGAGCTCTGAGTTTGATTGAGAGCCCCTGACTCAGTGAAGAAAGTAGTAGAGAAATCAAAGTTGATCCATGACATCAACCGCAGGCCTCCACATGCACACAGATGTGTCTATACACATGCAAACACACATACACTTACATATGCATGCCGCACACATGCACCTGATTATAAAAAATAATAATAGCGCTTTCCTTGAATAAAATCGCAAACATTTTAATATTGCATTAGTGTTGCTTTCTGATTAAACCAATGATTAAATTCAAACACATGCATGTTACACACAGGAATACAAAATCCCCATTTTAGGAAATATTCAGACTTTTTGCTCTGTAAATCTCCCCCATGCCCTCCCCAGATGAATTTATAGGTTGACCCAGAAAAGTATTTCAGACTGGGCAGATGACGGTCAAGGGAACCTTTTAGATTAAAAATGTGGTTAAACGTGTTGTGTGAACCACATCTCTGCCTGAAACCCAAGGTTGGTGGTGAGGGAAAAGCTGTGAATCTTTCCGTGTAAAAAAATGTGTGAAAAGTCCCATGATGAGTGGTGCTGGGACTCACCCACCACATCCTGTGCATCTCCCTCAGCCACTGGACTCAGTCCACACACAGGTCAGCATTGGTCTTGCCAGTGGTATGCTGTCGATACTCACTGCCATGCTCGGCCTGGGTGAGTCCTTCAGGAAAGGGGGATGGAACCAGAACAGGAGTGGGGGAGACATTATATCATTATTGTTGTTTTCTAGGGCTATGTCTGAGCCAGAGGATCAACACAGAGAAACGTAAGTGCTTCCTTGAGAGCCTCAAAACTGGTCTCATATCTGAGAGCATCCAGAGACAGGCAAGCATTCTGCCTCACTATGATGGCCACCAACTGGTGGCTGGGGAAAATGGGGAAGATAGGTAATGGCTCATCTGGGACTAATGCCTCTGGTTCCTTTTCAGAGAGTCTCCAGAAACCCATCATCTGGGCCGAACCCAGTACCAGGGTCACAAAAGGAAATGCTGTGACCATCTGGTGCAAGGGACCTCAGACTGCTACCCACTATCAACTGTACTTTGAAGGAAACTTCTTAGCCTTGGGAAGACCTAAGCCAAGTAGATCAATGACTATAGTTAATTTCACCATTCCACAAATGACCTCACATACCGCAGGGAAATACACCTGCTGTTATCAGAGTGGGGAGCGTCAATCAAAGAGCAGCAAAGGCCTGAATCTAATAGTTACCGGTGAGTGTCTTGTTATTAGATGTAGAGTCAGCTTGGTATGAATCATTGAGAGTGCCAGTGTTCATAGATACTGAAAACAATTTTTTCTTGCCCTTCTTTTTTTAAAACTTCTTTTATTTTTTTTAAAAAAAAACAAACTATATTTTTTTCATTTTACATGCCAATCCCAGTTCCCACTCCCTCCCATCCTATCTGCCACCACACCCCCCATCCACTCCTCAGAGAGGGTAAGGCACATTGTTTGGGGGAGGTCCAAGGCCCTCCTTACCATATCTAGGTTGAGCAAGGCATACATCCAAAGAAAATGGGTTCCCAAAAAGCCAGTACATGCAGTATGGATAAATTCTGGTGACACTGCCAGTAGCCCCTCAGTCTGCCCCAACATTCAGAGGGACTAGTTGAGTCCTATGCTGTTTCTTTCCCTGTATGGCTAGAGTTGATGAGCTCCCATTACCTCACGTAAACTGTTTCAGTGGGTGCCTCCATCATTATCTTGACCTCTTTGCTCATATTCTCACACTTCCCACTCTTCAACTGAATGTTGGGAGCTCAGTACAGTGTTCCAATGCAGGTCTCTGCCTCTGTATTCATCAGTTGCTGGATAAAAGTTCTATGGTGATAAGATATTCATCAGTCTGACTACAGGGCAAGGGCAGTTCGGACATCCACTCCTCTATTGCTTAGGGTCTTAGATGGGATCATCCTTAAGGATTCCTGGTAATTTCTCTAGTGCCAGGTTTCTTGATAGCCCCATTATAGCTCCCTCAATCAAGATACCTCTTTCCTTGCTCTCATCTCTGCCCTTCCTCCATCGCAACTATCCCATTCCCTCAAGTACTCCTCCTCCCTCCCCTTCTCCTCTCATCTTTCTATACCATCCTCTCTACTCCCCTCACCCCAATGCTTCCAATTTTGTCAGGTGATATTACTTGTTTCCCCTTCCCAGGGAAATCTATGTATGTTTCTCTTAGGGTTCAGCTTGTTACTTACCTTCTCTAAGCTCAATATCCTTTACTTTACAGCTACTATCCACTTATGAGTGAGTACATATGGTATCCAACTTTCTGGGTCTGGATTACCTCACACATGATGGTTTTTCCTAGTTCCATCTATTTGCATGCAAATTTCAAGATGTCATTGTTTTGGACTGCTGAGAAGTACTCTGACGTGTAAATGTGCCATATTTTCTTTATCCATTCTTCAGTTGAGTGGCATCTAGGTTGTTTCCAGGTTCTAGATACTACAAATAATGCTGCTATGAACATAGTTAAACAAGTGTCCTTGTAGTATGATTGAGAATCTTTTGGGTATATGCCCACGAGTGTTATTGCTGGGTCTTGAGGTACGCTGATTCCCAATCTTTTGAGAAACCGCCATACTGATTTCCAGAGTGATTGTGCAAGTTTGCATTCCCACCAGCAATAGAGGAGTGTTTCCCTTACTCCACATACTCTCCAGAATAAGCTATGATTGGTGTTTTTGATCTTAACCATTCTCACTTGTGTAAGATTAAGATGATATCTCAGAGTTGTTTTGATCCGCATTTCCATGATGACTAAGGATGTTGAACATTTCCTTACATGTCTTTTGGGCATTTGAGATTCTTCTGTTGAGAATTCTCTGTTTAGTTCAGTACCCCCATGTTTTAATTGAGTTATTTAGAATTTTGATATCTAATTTCTTGAATTCTTTATATATTTTCAAGATCAGTCCTCTGTCTGATGTGGGATTGGTGAAGATCTTTTCCCATTCAATAGGCTGCCTTTTTGCCTTATTGACTGAGTCCTTTGCTTTACAGAAGCTTCTCAGTTTCAGGAGGTCCCATTTATTTATTGTTGCTCTCAGTGTCTGTGATACTGGGGTTATATATAGGAAGTGATCTCCTGTGCCCATGCATTGAAGACTACTTCCCACTTCCTCTTCTATCAGGTTCAGTGTGGTAGGATTTATATTGAGGTCTTTAATACATTTGGACTTGAGTTTTGTGCATAGTGATAGATATGAATCTATTTTAATTTTTCTACAGGTTGACATCCAGTTATGCCAGTACCATTTGTTGAAGATGCTTTCTATTTTTTTATTGTACAATTTTAGCTTCTTTGTCAAAAGTCATGTATTGGATGTGTGGATTAATATCTGGGGCTTTGATTTGATTCCACTGGTCATCCCCTCTTCTTTTATGCCGATACCTAGCAGTTTTCATTACTGTAGCTATATAATAGAATTTGATGTCAGGGATGTTGATGCCTTCAAAAGTTCCTTTATTGTACAGCATTGTTTAGGCTATCCTGGGTTTTTTGTTTTTCCATGCATTGAATCTATAGATTGCTTTTGGTAGAACTGCCATTTTTATTATGTTGATCCTACCTATCCAAGAGCATGGAGATCTTTCCATTTTCTGGTATCTTCTTCAATTTCTTTCTTCAAAAACTTAAAGTTCTTGTCAACAGGTATTTCACTCCTATGGTTAGTATTACCAAAGATATTTTATGTTATTTGTGGCTATTGTGAAGGGTGATGTTTCTCTGATTCTTTCTTGGCTTCTTCATCATTTGTATATAGGAGGGCTACTGATTTTTTTTTCAGTTGAGCTTATGTCCTGCCACATCACTGAAAGTATTTATCAGCTGTAGGAGTTCCCTAGTAGAGTTTTTGGGGTCTATTATGTACACCATCATATCATCTGCAAATAATAAAAGTTTGATTTCTTGCTTTCCAAAATTTTAATCCCCTTGATCTCCTTTTGCTATTGATCTAGCCAGAACTTCAAGAATATGCTGAATAGATACAGAGCCTTGTCTTGTTCCTGATTTTAGTGGACTCACTTTGAGTTTCTTCCAATTTAATTTAAGGTTTTTTTGTCAGCTTGTCGTATATTGCTTTTATTATGTTTAGATATAATCCTTGCATCCCTAATCTCTCCAAGACCTTTATCATGAAGGGGTGTTAGATTTTGTCAAATGCTTTTCAGCATCTAATGGGATGATCAAATGGTATTTATCCTTCAGTTTGTTTATATAGTGGATTACACTGCTATATTTTCATATGTTGAGCCATCCCTGCACCTCTGGAATGAAGCCAACTTCATCATGTTGGACTTTTTTGAGGTCTTTTTAAATTCGGTTTTCCAGTATTAATTATTGAGTATTTTTGCAACTATGTTCATGAGTGAGATTGGTCTAATTCTCTTGGTTGAGTCTTTCTGTGCTTTTAGTATCAGGGTAATTGTAGCCTCATAAAAAGAGTTTGGCATTGCTCCTTCTGTTTCTATTATGTGGAACAGTTTGAGGAGTATAGGTATTAGCTCTTCTTTGATGTTCTGGTAGAATTCTGCACTGAAACCATTGGGCCCTGGGTGTTGTTGTTGTTGTTGTTGTTGTTGTTGTTGTTGTTGTTGTTGTTGTTTGTTGGGAGGCTGTTGATAGCTGCTTCTATTTTCTTGCAGGTTTAGGTCTATTTAAATTTATCTACTTGGTCTTGATTTAATTTTGGAATGTGGTACCTATCCAGAAAATTGTCCAATTTTTTTTTATTTTCCAATTTTGTACAGTACAGGTTGATGTAGTATGAACTAATAGTTCTCTGAATTTCCTCAGTGTCTGTTGTCATGTCCCCTTTTTATTTTTGATTTTGTTAATTTGGGTGTTCTCTCTCTGCCTTTTGATTATTTTGATTAAGGCTTTGTCTATCTTGTTGATTTTCTCAAAGAATTAACCCATTGTTTCATTGATTCTTTGTATTGTTTTCTTGTTTCTATATTATTGCTTTCAGTCCTCAATTTGGTTATTTCCTGTCTTGTACTCCTCCTGGGTGAGTCTGTTTCATTTGTTCTAACAGGTGTGCTGTTAAGTCACTAATGTGAGCTTTCTCCATTTTCTTTATGTGGGCACTTAGTGCTATGAACTTTCCTCTTAGCACTGCTTTCATAGTGTCCCATAGGTTTGGGTATGTCTTCATTTTTGTTAAATTCTAGGAAGTCTTTTATTTATTTCTTTATTTCTTCTTTGACCCATGGGTGGTTCAATAGAGCACTGTTTAATTTCCATGTGTTTGTGGGCTTTCTGAAATTAGTGTTGCTGTTGAATTCTATTTTAAACCACAGTGATACAAAAAGATACAAGGGGTTACTCCAGTTTTTGGTATCTGTGGAGGTTTACTTTGTTTCCAAGTATGTGGTCAATTTTAAAGAAGCTTCAATGAGGTGCTGAGAAGAATGTGTATTCTTTTGTGATTGTGTGAAATGTTCTGTGGATGTGTTAAGTCCATTTAATTCATGACATCTGTTAGTTCTCTAATTTCTCTGTTAAGTTTCTATCTGGTTGATCTGTCCATTGGGTAGAGTTGGCTTGAAAGGTGTTGAAGTCTCCTCCTATTAGTATGTGCGGTTTGATGTTGGTTTCAGCTTTAGTAATGTTTCTTTTAAATATATGAGTGATCTTATATTTGGGTCTAGATGTTCAGAATTGAGATTTCATCTTGATGGATTGTTCCTGTTATGAGTATAAAGTGTCCTTTTCCATCCCTTTTGGTTGATTTTAATTTGAAATCTATTTTGTTAGATGTTAGGAGAGCTACATCTGCTTGTTTCTTAAGTCCACTTGATTGGAAAATCTTTTCCCAACCCTTTACTGTGTCAGAGGTCTTGTCTGTATTTGAGGTTGAGACGTGTTTCCTGTGAACAGCAGAAGGATGGATCCTGCTTTCATATCCATTCTCTTAGCCTGTGTCTTTTTATCAATTGATTCCATTGATATAAAGAGATATTAGTGACCAGTGATTGTTAATTCCTGTTATTTTTCAGTGATAGTATTAGTGTGTTTCCTTTCTTTGGGATTTTAAGGAGGGAGGTTATCTGTTGCCTATGATTTTGTGGGTTCAGTTAGCGTCCATGGGTTGGACTTTTCCTTCTAGTACTTTCTGTAGGGCTGAATTTGTGGGTAAGTATTGTCTAAATCTGATTTTGAATGGAGTACCTTATTTTCCCCATAGATGGTGATTGA